GGGCCTAAACTCTGAACCCCTAAAATCCCTAAAACCCTGAACCAGTGCCAGCCGAGGGACGAAATGGGTGCTGCGGCTGCGTGAGCCTGCCAGAGCAACGGTTCGGGGATTGAAGCTGTTCAGTGGTCAGGGGATCCTAGCACTTTAGGGTTTAGGGTTTAGGGCTAGCACTAATCATCCTAATTTTTGGTTCCACCTTTCTGGGGTTTACTATAAACCTTATAAGCCCAACTATAAACCTTAAAAGCCCTAAACCCTAACCCACACCCCCGGAGCCGAAGCTGAAATCGCCCGGAGCAGGACACCCCGAAGTTCAGTGCTTCGGGTTCGTTTTGGGTTTCGCGGTGCCCGAAGCAGAACCAACCGGAAATTCAGGGTTTAGGGTTTAGGGTTCAGAATCTCAAACCCAGGATCCGAAACCCGGAACCCTGAATTCAGACCCCAAGAACCTCGAAATGACGAACCCGAAACCCAGAGCCTCACGAGCAACTTTCTTGTCTGAATACTCTGTACTCATCCACTGGGTTCCCTAAAAACATTATAGCCCATGATTAGTATAGGACCCCCCCACAGCCCGAGTCGATTTTTTCTCGGGCTTCTGCATTACCCCCGAAACTCTACACCTCAACACCACCTCTATGACCTTCCAAACCCGAAAAGCCCTAAACCCCAACCCAGCTTAACCTTACACACTGCAGGCTCGCATCGGGGGTTCACGGGTCTTTGTCTTCTTTCGTGGTAAACTCGGCTCAAGCCTTCTCTGGGGAGTTTGGTTTGGAGCCTACCCATAGGCCCTAAAGTAGTTCCTTTTGGGGCTCATATATAGAAGCCTATAAGGTAACCCCAAAAACGAACTACTATGGGGCCTATGAGTAAGGACCCTAGACCACCCTACACCCCTGGTTCTTAAGTTTTCAGGCCGAGGTATGCCTGCGTGGCCTTGGACATAAAATCACGAGACGAGTGTTCCGACTGATGTAACCCTAATGGTCCAAGACCTAATAGGGTTTTGGGTTTAGGGTTTAGGGTTACTTAGAGGGACTCTAGAAGGGTTGAAAAGGGCAAGATGTGCTACTTAATCATACATTCTCCCAAATATTCAGCTAGATTGTTACTGTCCGTATCCAAGTTACCCGATTATATGGGTCCTTTGGACCCTTGGTGGCCTTGGGGTAAGCTTGACATTGGCCTCTGGCCTTCCCCAGTCATCTTACGCTCTAAATTCAATTCCTGGCCTTGCCGGTTTAGGGTTTAATGTAGGGGCCTTTATAATTAGAATAGGGGTTTGGGGCCCAATATACTACAATCATAACAAGGAATCCCCAAAACAGAATTGGTTATTTTGTAGGCTTCTATATTAAACCCTAAACCCTAAACCTATATTAGTGAGTACCAGTGCCCTTGACCTCTCAATCCTGAGCTCGGAACCCGAATTTTTACAAATCCGGCCAGACCCTTACAATGACCCTAACGGTACCCGTCTCGACGCCTTTTCGGAAACATTGAAAAGAGGGAACCCTACTCCAATCGTGAGGGCTTCTCATGAGGGCTTCAAGCAGAAAATCCCCTAAAACCTAGACCCTTCAATCCTAAACCCTAAACCCTGACTCCTAAACCCGAAACCCCTAAATCCTAAAAGCCCTACGTCCGCAGGGCTTCAAGCTGAGACCCCGACGTCATCTTCCCGAATGACGGCGGGGTGTTCCCGAGGGTGAACTTCGTCAAACCTGGTCTGCACCCTAAACCCTAAACCCTAAACCGTTACACAGCGATTTGGTAGAAGTTGTGTTGTAGAAGTGTTTTTTTTTGAGCGCCTTTTTCCCTCATCCCAGCGGTTTAACGGAACTTCTGTTTCGGACTGTTGTAGAAGTTTAGGGTTTAGGGTTTGCGATTTAGGGTCTAGGGGTTAGGGTTGTGGGTTGAGGGCTTCGGGTTTACGATGGTTACAGTATTACAACTGCTTTTGCTGCCAGTGGTGACCATTTGTATTTCTCGTCGGCTGTTTGACTTGTAATTTCTCTGCGGCGTCTTCGTGAAACCCCCTAAACCCTAAACCCTAAACCCTAGCTAAACCCTAAACCCTAAACCCTAGCTAAACCCTAAACCCTCAACCCTAAGCTGGGCTTCAGCCTGGTTCACGGAAAACGTGCAACACGTCAGCTGAAGAGGCGGCTGATGTGATGAGTCAGCTACCAGTAATTCTTATTATTATTTTTACCATTGTTACTACTACTATTAGTATTGTTACTATTATTATTATTACTAGCATTCCTATTATTACTAAATATTACTATCATTACTAATATGGTTACTATTACTATTACTATTACTGTTATTACTATTATGATTATCATTATTATTATTAATATTATTAATATTGTTACTAATATTATTTCTATCATTACTAGTATTATTAATATTGTTACTATTATTGTTTCTATCATTACTAGTATTATTAATACTGTTACTACGATTACTACTAGTATTCTTCTTCTTATTATCATTATTAGGACCACGTGCTTTGAAGGAGCTTTTCCTTTCCCTTAGTGACGTCAAAGACGTTGCCATACGCGTATCATAAACGGATGTGGGGGCACTTCTGGAAGTATGGATACCGAGAGGGTAAGAGCAGCAACCAATCCCCATTGCCGGGTTTGTACGGCGCCAACAATCCAGCTCCGGTGAAGAAGACCATCTGTGAGCCCATGCGCTGCATGCGTTCGAAGCTCTTTGGCAATCTTTGCCGTGCCTTTTAGCAGGATGGTCATGTCACGATGAGCGATGCTAAACCCTAAACCCTCAACCCTAAACCCTAAACCCTAAACCCCATGCCAGGTGCTCTCAAAGCTCGAAAATGAACCTCGTCGCGCATGAAAGCCTACGTCCCCAAATCCCATGGTTCCAGCATCTCATCTTCCGAAGATTGAGCTCCGAACTCAGGGGTCAGAATAATTAGAATACGGTTTGGGGGTATATGATAACATAGAGCATCCTCATAATGAGTAATAACAGTGATAATAACAAAATACCTAAATACAGGTCAGAAGTATGAGAGTAGTAATAATCATGAAGGACCGTGTGGGGTGATATGATAGGCCCTATATTCGATCCTGAAAAGGATCCCCCGATGAGAGTCTTATCCTGCGTAGGTGGTTTCAAGTTTCAGCTGTAGTCTTTACGGTGGAGGGTTCAGCGTAGAAAAGGGTTTTGGGGGTTCCTTACTAAAATTCTAGTAGAATCGATGCCAAAACCCTATTCTAACTATTAAGGCCCTTATGTTTTAGGCTTTGGGGCTGTGCATCGTTGGTAGATGCTGTAAAGAAGGGGACTCGCTGTCCTCACGCATTGAAAGCAGACTCGAGTAAATGCACGAGTCATCCCGTTGCCAGTTTCCTGCTTGTGGGGTTGGTATGCTAACACGGTAGGTAGTTTGTAGCAGAGTAGAAGCCCGAGGCATTTAAGCCAAACACAACCTGCAAGTCTTGAGGCCAGAAGATTCAATACTCCGATGAACCCTAAACCCCTAAACCCAAACCTCAAGACTCCAATATTCTGCTTGTCACTGAGGCCCCCTCGTGACCTCAGAAAGGGCCCAGGTGTGGGGTTGAGGAGTTCATGGAGACTTAAGCTGACCTGAAACATGAGGTAATGTAGGGGCCTTCATAATTAGAATTGGGGGTGGGGGTTTCTGTTAAGGGTTTCTTAAAGGGTTCTATAAGGGCTACTACAAGGGTTTAGGATGTAGGGGCCTTCATAATTAGAATAGGGTTTTGGGGGTTCCTGTTAAAGGCTCCTTAAAGGGTTCTATAAGGGCTACTATAAGGGTTTAGGATGTAGGGGCCTTCATAATTAGAATAGGGTTTTGGGTATATGATACCATAAACATCAAAAGGGAGCCACCAAAATAGTATAGGTAATAATTTAGGCCCCTTTTTTAACCTTGGTAAACCTGAGCCGGTCAGCTGATGTTCACCGGCGACATGGCATTCACGGCCGGCAGCAGCTCCGTCTCTATTATTCCTGCACACTTCTTGCTGGAGCAGGAAATCGGGGACCTTATACCCTGCAACATCACCTCTGCCAAGGATTGCCTCAACCCTAAACCCCCTAAACCCTAAACCCTAAACCCCTAAACCCTAAACCCTAAAGTCGAAAATCTATGAAACCTTGAAACCCCAAGGGCCGTAACCTCCAAACTCTAAACGCTGAAATCTGAGCCCCCAAACGGTAAACCCTGAAACCCTGAATCCCAGATCAGGGCGGTACTTTATGCGCTTGATTGTGCTAATTCTTCGGGCCCCGTTTATTAGAATGCCCGGGTCCTAAAAAGCGACAAGGCTGCTGGCGCAGGGAACATCCACAAGTGGGGCGCCTACCAAGTTCTACTACTCTGCCGCAGATCCTCGTCCCGTACTAGTCCCACAGGCCGCGGCATTCCAGCAGAAGTAAGAACTACGGTTTAGGGTTTAGGGACGTCGTCGTCGTCGTCATGGTCGGCACAGAGGCGAGACCAGCAGGAGCAGGAGAAGGAGCTGTAGCAGCAGAAGGAGCAGTCGACATCGTCGGTTGCGGCAGTGGCATTCTTGTCTACGATTTTCGTCTAAACCCTAAACCCTAAACCCTAAACCCTAAACCCAATAAACCGCTTCAAGCTGACTCTCCTCTGTTCGTACAACAAGAAACTAAGCCCCTGCTTGCCATGCCTGTGCATGAGTTCGCCGGGAGTGCATCCACACCCCCGATGCCTGGGTGTAGTAGCGATTGTCGTCGCCCTCCTAGTATGTAGTGGTAGCAGGAGTAGTGGTGTGCATGTTCTTTGGTTTTAATTCGATCACCGCTGTCCTTTGGACAGGTCAACCAGGATCGGCCAAAAGGTAGACATGAGCTCATCTGCGGTAGCTGCCTCAGATGGCAGGAGGCATGGAGGATCTTCCTATCACGTGGATGGACAGGGGGAAGCACAAAGGGAATCACAATGTACGGCAAAAAATCCTACGTTGTTCTGTAGTTCCAAGTAGTAAACGCAAAGACAACCTCCATCCGATATCAATTCGGTCAAGCGATCCTGCCTCGTAATCATGGTAAATAAACGGGAGGTGGCGAGATGATTTTGCAAGAGATCGAGGGCGCCCCAACAACTGTGGACGTCCCCTAAACCCTAAATCCTAAACCCTAAACCGCATATGCTGAGGAGAGTTCATTCTCAAAGGCCATCGGGCACAAGTCTGTGGCGATCTCCCCAACGGTCCAGACGCTTTCGTTAGCAGTTTCGGGTGTTTAACGCTAAGACCGATACACCCCAACCCTTAAACAAACCTAAACCCCATTCCCTAAAGCTTCCTAGCGAATCTCTGACGACGTTCAGGCACGTTTAAGACGATGGTGCCGTCTTCCTTCTCATCCTCGACGTTCGCCTCCACAATTCGGTGTGCTGAAGGCTTGCAGAGATGGAAAACAGGGGTTTGGGAGTAATTATACTATATTGCTATACTGTTACCCACTCCCTTAACCCTCAATCGTGCTACTCTACAGAGACGATAGTTGAAGCTTCCTGGAGTGAGCTTGAAACCCTGAACTCAACCATCCCGAAAAACACTAGAAGTCTGTTGTTTTTGCCGGGGCCGGCTAAATGCCAAAGGATCAGAAAGGACAGCCGACACTCAGTGGACCTAGGAGGCTGGTTAGAAGTAGAGTGATAGTCCTAAACCCTAAACCGTACCTAAACCCTAAACTCTAACATTAAGCCGTAGACTAACGGTGTTATCCTACTCCGAACTTGCTAAGCCGTCGAATCTCCGGAGCCAACTTGCCCAAGCCTCGGGAAACTAGGGCCTGACCCAGGAATATAGGGCCCTGAGTTCATCAGAAAGGGGTGTTGGGTATATTCTTCGTATATACCAAAGTAAACAGTAGTATAGTACAGTACATCAAAGTACTAGTACATTGTAGCATCGTATCTTTATGCAAGGTAACGGGGCACAGTCACTATGGCTTGTTGTTCAGACCCCCTTTTCACTTGACCAAATGCCGACCGATAAGGAAGTCGATCAATGCGATGGCGGGAGCTACATCCGGAATGTCAAGCTGCTAAACCCAAAACCCGAAACTTGAAACCCTGAATCCTTAGCCCTTACTAAACCCCAAACCCTAAACAACCAAGCCTGAACCGCACAAATGATGTGACCCCCTACAGAATACCCATCTCCCTACCCCCTGCCGCGTTGACAAGACTGTCAACCCCAATGAGAATTACAACACGAATCATAACAGCAATAACTTATAATGGTCAACTGCAATACAAAAATAGTAATATAGAAGCCTAAATAATTACCAATATTACGGCTAGGGCTCCTTATTATAATGATACGATAAAAAGTGCCCAAAACCCTATTCTAATTATTGAGGCTGAGGCCCCTATATTCGTCGCAACAATACCGCCTTGGTGACCTCCAAGGACGTCTCTGAGTCCACCACCGCGGTGCTCTCGGAACAGCCCATGCTGGCGCGATCCCGACAGCGGCTGCCCTCGTCGTAGTGCTCTGAGCCCCGCGGCCGCAAGTCAAGGTTCAGGGTGTGGGGATTAGGGATTAGGGTGTCGGTGTATTTTACGAAGATTTTTCCGGAATCATGCCAACCTCATCGCAGAAAGCACATTCGTCATGATCGGAGATAACCTTCGACTTGCTCATATATTTGCTGCCCTCCTCTTAGTCATCAGCATCACACCATGCGCACGACGACCTCACCGACAGGTGATACTTGCGCCATGACCAATACTTTTGAGTAACTGTCGCAATGTTATGTTGGTCTTCGAAAGTAGGCGTGACGACAAGACCCGACAAGAGAAATACTAGCTGCGTCAAAATCAGTTGCTTTGGCAACACACAGCAAGAACTCTCAGTAGCAAAATCTGCAATCAATGCTTCTCGGAACAGGATGGCGACCGTACAAGGAATGTACGAGCCTTAACAATTAGACTAGGGTTTCGGGCTC